TCTCCCTCATAAATACATTAGTGTTAGTGATTTAACGCGGATGCGCAAATATCCGGATAGTCGGGCACTCTCAGTTGCTACCGAAAACTTAGCTGGCAAACCCGGCCCAGGTACGTCAGGAGTTTGAAAAGGCTATTCATTCGGGTAAATATTTGGACGACCAAGAAAATAAGCTTCACAATTTCTGCGGGGAAAAAACTACCTTTTTCAACGAGCCAAGATCAAGTTCGTCAAGTTCTCATATGTTCCGTACGAATTTTATCAACTTACGTGAATCCTAAAGCACATTCCAAAGTACAAATACCAAAAGCTAACTCTCGTCGTTTCTACAGTTTCTGTAGAAAATTGAAAATTTCCCATGCCGCAGGTATACAGTGAATGCAAAAAGTATTCCTTTAGAGAAAATTTTTATTTGTGTATGTGACAAATGAACATTAATTAATATTATATAACAAAATGCTATTGCAAGTCCGCATGGGTTCGCATTTTTGTATTATTATTAATTTATTCTTAGAGCCCTAACTTTTGTGTTATAAATTAAATAATTTATTGATACAATAAATACGTTCTGTCCCAATATAAACAAGAGTTTCGCGAAAATAACCGTATTTATGACTTAGAAGCTAAATTTATCGACTGTAAAAATTTTTGGTGAACGTAAATAACATAATATTTTATTTTCGCTTATTATTAAAATATTATAAATAAATATTGTAAAAATATAAAAAAAATATGTAAATATATTAAAATATTATAAATATTATTAAAATATAATTTAATTATTACTTTTTTAGGAGAAATAATTTTGAGAAATACACAATCTATTTTATTCTTTATAAATTGCTAATTAATGTTTACTTTCTAAAAATAAGATTTTTTAAAAAGATATCTCCACTGTGCAAATCTTTTTTACACTCACTGTACGAATGTTCATGTTTTCCTTATTATCGCGAATAGAGAACGTTTTTCGTATCTATTGCATTAAAATTTAAAATAGCTTTTTTACAGTGGTTCGTAATGCAGTTTCTACTAGAAATGCAACGCGTGGCTGGAAGCGCACGAACCGCCGAGAAAACGCGTTACATTTTTCAGCGTCTTTAGCCGGAAAGACATATTCTCGCCGCACCGTGGAAATTTCATCTTCAGCTTCGTAGTGCTTCTCTCCTCGGGCTTAAGAAACTGTACGTCAAGTAACGGGGTGCTGCCAATGCTACCAGTTGCGTGGCGGAGTAAAGAAAGGACCGAGACGAGCCGAGCTTAATCCCTGGAAAAGTTTCGCGTTCGTGGAGATTTTCCCGCAAGCCATCTCGTCCGGAGAGCGTTTTTTTTTTTATTCGTCCGATGATTCACATTGACTCAGCCGCAATTCGCGATCCTAATAATCCCCGCGACTTGTTTCCACGGCCGCCGCGCCGTGAGTATTCTTCGTATTATGAAAAATTGCTGTCGAGTGCGGGGCAGTCGTTTAAATCTTGTAAAATCAATGCGATCACAATTTGAATGCATCGTACATAATAAATTAGCATTCATGGGAACGAAAGTTTTAGAATACGTAATTAGGAGATTAAAATATTTTGTGTTTATGTTTAAAAAAATTCAATATATTTTGATAAATATTTTTTCAATATTTGTATAAATAAATGTTTACTCAATTAAAAAAATATAGTTAAATCAAATTAATGTTTTTTGTATCAAATAAATATAGTACGTTAACATTCAGTAAATGTTTACTACAAATATTCAAAGAAATATTTATTAAGATATAATACATTTGTTTTCAGTGTATACAATAACTCAATGCAGAAATCTAAGTGTCGGCAAAATTTTTAATGTTACTAGTTCACAAACGAGTTTTGAATTTTTACGTAATATTTGTGTTAGTGTTTCTCTATAACGTATTCAACTTGTGTTAAACTGACATAAAAATTTCAGCGAATCGTTTGGGACGTAACATGTGTTGAATTTAACATAAATTTTCTAAAAGTGTAGACAATAAATGCTGAACTCTAATAAATGAAAAACCAATCCAAAGTTGTATAAAAATAAAAATTAAATGCTCAACACACCTGATTTGTTTTCTAATATTTCGATGAAACTGCGTAAGTATATTATATTTAAAATTTTTTTTATATCTCTCGAAAATTGAACTTGATAGAAATATTTCAATTTTTGATAAATTAGATTCAACGTCGAAAAAATTACTCAAAAACAGTCTTCATATATACTCTTACAGAAAACTTTGTAAACTAGTATATTTTAAACGTTAGCGATTTAATTTTGTGGAAGACGCGCCGCGCCCGCCGAGTTCTATTAAATTAGTTATCCTTACGTTATTTTTTTCCCTGGTATCCGTAGTTGAGAAGAGCGCCGGTAAATCTGAAACACGCGGCATGTTCGCGAATAATCGAAGCAATATATCTTAAAACTTCTTTTTTCCTTCGTCTCACATTTATAATATAACAACGGTAGCAAAGTTCAGCCAGCAGTTTGCTCGAATACCCTCGAGGCGAAATCAAAGATATATCATGTACTGCAGTACGTCGCTCATAAAATCAGAGCCGTTTCGTAAACGCAGTTGCCGCGACGGTGCATTTTGAGGTCGAAAAAAGCATAAGTGCTCAACTTGCAATCTGCGTTGTAATGTAACCAGATTATTCCGCTGTCGCATAAATACACGAGGAAATGCAATTGTTCATGCACACTGCACTCGCGCAGACTTTGTGAAATTGGCAGCCTTCCATGTTCATACTCACATAAAACATGTACTACATAACATTAAAGAAACATATCTGTTAAAACCATTAGGAAAATCATGTTTAATAATTTCACCTTGTCTTCAATCTGCTTAATTTTTCATTAACAAAATTTTGAATTATGTGGTAATGCGCTTCAAGTAAAATTAAATTTCCGAGATGTTGGGAGGTATACTAGGTAGAAACGAAATCTTATTTCGGGGCTAAATTCAAGGGTACTTTGACAGAAATTTCAGCTAAAAATTATCTAGGAATATGTTTTACTATAACGTCAAACATCAAAAAATTTTAGTAAAAAAAGCAGCGAGTAATCAGATTTTTACTGAAAAAAACTTGTCTCCAAATTTATCAAAGATTTTATATATATGAAAGAGAACACGGTGTAACTCGGACGGAACCCTATATAATAAATAGAAAAAGTGGAGAGAAGGTGTGCGCTTATTGGTTGTAAAACGAAAACCCTCATCTGTCCACGATATGAGACAGAGAACCCTGAAAATCGACTACTGTTATAGTAATAAGTCACCTAATTGATTGCAATGGCACAGCGGGTATTTCTAACGTGCGAACCACTTCATAGAAGAATTCTATGTATTCCTTCTACATTAGTTGCAAGTCGATCATAAGCTTATTGCAACGTTCAATCTGAAGTACCAATTTTAAAATGAATGATTCTTCAAATTGCCTGTCGCAACAAATTTACGATCGACTTGTCACTAATATAAAACTAAAGTAACACAATGCTGCGATAATGTAAATTAATCTTAAAAAATGTGTTTTAAAAATCTACAAGATTAGGAAGTGTCGATTAATTTATGTGCGATGATCCTTATTAACAAAATGATATAATAATATTGTATGTTTCGACAAAGAATCTTCTTCAGCTTTGAAATATTCATAAAAATTTCTATAAATAAAATATTTAAATAAATTGTTATAGATAAATTAAAACGGAACATAATGTGTGATCATTGCTGACCTTAGTTTTATATACAATATTACTTTGCATATTGTGAGTCATATTTATCTATAGTATTATTTATTAAGTATTAAATTAATATTAATATTTAATCTTAAAAGAGAGATATATATATACGTATATGTATGTACCTATGTATAATATTAATATCTTTTATCCGACAACCCTTTCCAAAGGATTTAAATTGCAAAAATGTTAAGATAAAATATAAGCTATGTAACAATAAATTAACAAATAACATCATTTTGTCAGTAAAGAAGATTTTTTAGTCGCACAATATTATGACAATAGAAGATAATACACCCTTTCATTTTATTGAAGTTGAATTCTCGCATTTTTCTTAAGCATTCTCTTGAAATCCGCATTATACAGAGATTAAAGTACAAAATCCGTATTAGTAGAGAAAAATGACGCGACAAGTTCTGCGTTTGCAAGAATATTGCTTGCGATAACGATATTACTGGCACTTCGCGAAGCGAGGTTAATTTCGTTGGAGCACTCGAGCTAATCGATGGCGAAATTCTGTGGTACCCATAAATTCTGAAATGAGATCAACAACTTCCTCCCCAACGTCAACAGGCTGAAGAGAAATTCGTAGGGTACGCAGGATCGAAGGGAAATACGGGAGGAGAGGGTCGGCGGACGACTGGGGAGTAGCTGAAATTTTTGGCGTTTTATACGAACACCCGAGTATACGGCACTGTTTTTCGTGTGGCAGCTGGCTCGCATAGCGGAACAACACTAAACTCAAGACCCAGGACCGACATGGTGCAGTCTTATCGGCGCGCTCGCCTTATTTTTAATAAAAACTACGAAGGGGAAGAGGATGGTGCGAGATTAAAAAATTCACCGGCACCCGGAGGCACTCGATGGCCTCGTAACTTAAAATTAAGAAAATTAGGAAGCCGCACGACCGGCTAAGCTCGCGAAACGCTTGCATGCTCTGTTCTCAGGAATTTAATAGTAATTACTTAGCGAATGATGCACATGTATCGATACGCCCGCCGCCGCTGCAAAGCTTCATTGGAACATTTTTGTAAGTTGGATTTTGACGATAAGTTGATCTCACGTTATTACAACAAGGAAATATGATCTCAATGCGATAAATTATATAACTATCGTACGTGAAGAATGTTGCATTATAAAACTAATTGCAAATTATGTGATATACTTTGTACGACGTCCACAAGGTATTCATTAACATACTATTAACGTCGTACAAATCTTAGTATTATATTTTGAGATAATAAAGTTGCGAGAATACTCACCAGAAATACCATCGTAGGTCCACCATTCCTCCCAGCTGGCTTCGGATTCTGTAAACAGAGACACAAAAAAAGATATCAGTAAAAGTCTTGTTTCTGAAATATTAATAACTACTTTCTAAACTCCTGTAACTTATTCTAAACTGCATACGGTACTGAAAGTAACGCGCGTACGTTGCACGTTTTGGATTGCGATAGCCGCAATTTTCTTTCTCGTACATCTCGCCTGAACAGTTTCCCCGAGGTTCCGCAAACGTACATACGACGGAAAAGTTTCGAGCTCTATCACTGGCGTCCGAAGACGCCGGCCGGTGCATCGATCAATTGCAGTTGTAGATCGGGGACGATCAGTCAATCGATTACCGCGCGGCAGAATTCTAAGGCGGGCGTCTCTCGAATTGTGCCACGTGGTTTTATGCGCGTCGGACATACCAGAAGTGCGACGGGTCCACCCCGTTGCACGTGCACACACTCGGGAAACTCGCGTTCCGTCTCCTTTCCTCTCCCTTCCCATCCCACTCGCTCTCTCTCTCTCTCTCTCTCTCTCTCTCTCTCTCTTTCTCGCAGCCTCCTGATCGTAGCTCGACCCTATCCCGCTTTAGACGCTGACCTATATTCGATTATCTGGATGCATGCCATCCAACGCCGTACTGCAAACTAATTGCTTCAAATTGGAAAACTTTCTCGGGCTATCCTGAATCTCCCGCCTCATCCACTATTTCTCTCTCTCTCTCTCTCCCCCCTCCCCTCCCTCCCTTTCTATTGTCAATCTCGGTGTTTCTCGTCGGCGTTTCTCTTCTCGGTTCTACGAGCGATATTTATAGGCGTCTACTCCGTTTCACCGTTCATGATCCATCGGCCGTTACAGACTACCGATTCATGTCTATAATATCTGACGCGCCACATGTTTATCCGTACGACGTGCAACACGGCATACATGCTCGCTGATTGTACATTCGCGGTCAATAATGCCTTTTCGCTTGAAGTTAGCTACGTTTCAGATAAACGCATCTAATAGTATAAATATTTTATACATACATGTATTGTGATTGTTAAGTTCAATTACATTACTCGAATTTAAGAGTTATAATATTGTATCTATAGATACACGATGCGTGATACTTGAAGATAGCTATGTCTACCTAAACACAACTAAGTCCAAGTCAATAGGAATTATTGACCGCGACTGTACAGTATACCTTAATAGAATCGCACGTTCTCGTAACTGCACGATCATTAAATATCAATCTCCACACAATTTGTACGATGTTTGGCAATTTTGTGCAACAATTCGAGGATTTATAAAGGAACATTATCAACGAAACTGAACGAGATGTGAATATAAATTAACGTGATATATCGATCTAGGGGGCGAATTTATATTGAAACTGAGCTCTCGTTCGAGATAAATGACTTATATCTGAAAACGTCGTAGGAAAGTCCCCGAGCCCCTGTAGCGTGAAGGAAACCATTTTACAAGTATCGAAATCTGCCATCGCGCTCGCGTGTTATGACCGTCGAGAATTGATGCGCTGTCGTCACGTGAAATCAGGTTCCTTACGTACGTGAGGTGAGAGTACGTGTGAACTTCGGCTGTCAAGCGCGAGTACAAATGGAATACACGGCGGCGGATCGACAATCGTGAGCGGCTTATGCGCATCGTGCATAATCGATAGTGACGCCTGTCACTGTCATGCTCGACGGATGATATTATCAGCTCGAGTATTGCACGCAACAAATCTTGGACTCGATATTAGAATCGAACCGAAAACAAGCAGCGAACAAATCGAACACGATATTTACGCCATTCTGCAAACAGGATGTTTATTAAAATTTTATAAAAATACATATATATATATTATAAAAGTATATGTGTATTATAAGATACATATCATTAAAAATTTTCAAGAATTCACAGGCTTTCCAGATATTAATAAGTCAAAACATTTTTTAATCTCATTTTTTACGTAAGAAATATAATTATATTCTAAAAAAATATAGAAGCAGTTAATAATAACTGTCCGGTACTTTTGGTGTTAAGCATCATCACAAAAAATTACACACATTTAATTGTTCCAATATCTCTTCATCGACCAATGATTTTTTTATTGAAACGATAATTTCAACTTGATTTTCAAACTTGACTCGATTTTTGAAATAAAACAGATGGATTTCTTTATGACGCAATAAAAAGGTTTATTAGTCTCGTAACCCCGTCCAAGTTTCGACCGTAACATTTTCTCCGGCGGATATTTTAGGACAACGTCGCCCAATACGACTAATTTGAATATTTCATTTGCGGAAGTCTTGTTTTCTCAGCAGAGAACATTCCATCATTCATCGCACGTTTTATATTCAGACTATTCTGACGCGACACTCGATGCATACGAAAAAAATACATATTTACACAGAACTCCACAGTTCGCAACCATAGTTTTACGACGAGAATTATGATGAGAACTTGCAGTTGATTCTTCTATAGCAGCAAACTTTTTCTATTCATTTTATGCAATAGTGAAGATATCTAGCATGCAAATATCTAACACACATTGTTTTATTAAGATGAGAAATCGATAATTTCATCAGACCGAAATCCACCGAAGTTACCATTGTCATATTGACTTGTATATTTGCACGAAGATACGTTTACTAGATGCTTCCTGTTGGCATCATTTCGATTATCCGATAGTGTTTATCAAACTTGGATCTCACACGTCTTTCCACACGAACGATCACGAACGGCATTCTATCTAAATACTTAAACCTGACATAGTGCAAAAAAATATCAATAAATACAAATAAAATATTGCTGATGATAATGCAAAACTGTCACATACCGTTGGGGAGATTTTCGTATTGACAGTGTATTGGCAACCATGAGTTTTTTTTCGTTTCGCGATTCAGTCGTACTTAAGAATTACCTTAATAATATGGAAAAAATGAGAGACTTTCGATGATCATGTTACACTGTAAAAAGTAAACTATTCAAAATAGTGAATTCAATATGACGAATAGAATTTTTTAAAAATAATTTAATTATCGTAAAATGCGATTTTCAAGTGATTTTAATTGCGAAATAACAACAAAGTCCCAATTTCGTTTTATTTGGAGCTCATCAATACTATACAGTTAGTATTGATTTTCAAATTGACTTTCAAACTCTGATTATGACACTAAATCCTCCTTCATGGAAATTACTATACGTATTCTTTTGAAACTCGATATTTTCAGACTATGTATTCAAACTGGAGGATATAAAAAAATCTCATAAAATCGAGTTTTACAATAATCAAATTATTTGTTTGAATCAAGTAACTGTCAAAAGCTGATGCAAGCCAACACAGGTTATTCGTGTGTAAATTATATATTGAAAAAAAAATCGATTACAGACGTTCCAAACCTTTTTATTTGGGTCCTCTTTAGTGTATGGTTAAACGTGACGTGGATTAAATTAAATGTATGCGTATACAAGTTATTAGTCTCAAATCGTTATACTATAATTTGCTCTAAATGTCGTCTGCTGTATTTAGTAGGATACTTAAAAAACATTTAACATTATCTGCAAATCAATAAAGTCAAAATTGTTGAATAAGATAATTTTGTGTATCGTTCTATTTAAAAAAAAAATCTTTTGAATTTTTCTGATATATTATTAGATATTCGCCTTGACCAAATATATCTTCTTCACCTATTTGCGTTTAAGAGATTGAGTTCTTATTGCTGCTTTAATATCAAATAATGTGCAATGTGCAACGTGTACGAAAATGCGCGAAGACCATGAAATATCATCAAGATCCTAAAGACCTCTAATGCACATGTCAATGCTTGACCTGTTTCTGACTGCACTACTTACGTCAAGTAGCAGCGAGATGCTACAAGTGAATCTCACTTCGCTTTTTCTTTTACTTCTTTCCTTCTTTGTTCTCTTATTCTCTTTCTTTTTCTCGTTTTCGTATTTTGCTTTAGTTGAGCTATAAACGCGACATTATGTTGTATAATAACGCAGATGCGAAACATTTCCCTGATTATCTTTTCATGTTAACTGCGAAAAGACCAACGGACATGGCAATTTTTATATTCTAAGTACAAATTTAACAAACCGCTTAAACTGAATGTGTCGGAATAGTTTATTTTTGCACGGAAAATCCGTTGAAATTTCTTTTATAATTACAAGATAAATTTAAACTTAAAAAAATTAATAGAAACGTACAACAAAGTAAATCATAAATTACTTAAATAGGGGAGACCGGGGACAAAAGTAACATTTTTTACATATGTCTTAGCTATCACTTTTTTTTTTAGAGGTACGAAAAGTTATTCAGTCAAAGTTTTACGAAACTCTGATTATCACTTTACTATTTCACCTGTGTTTAAGCCCCAAGTGATACACATTTTTAGAGTTATAATGATTTTTCACAATTACGTCAATTGTTACTTTTATTCTGGAGGTCTAGATAACACGAAAGTAACGTACTATATAGGGATGAAAGTAATAGTTCTTATTTTCTAGAAAATACGTTAAAAATATATTTTTTACATAAAATAAGAAATACATTTTTTTATGTAAGATAATTGTTATAACAAAACAATTTTTATAAAACTTGAAAAACATAAATTATCTGAACCTCGCAATTACTCGCAATATGGAGAATTTCAACAGGTTGAAACTCGCCATGTTGCGAGGTTATGGATAAGTTTACTGTTATTTCCATTTCTATTAGATTACGTAACCTAAAGCAATATCCTGATTGGCTCATCGGCTCAAGTTTACGTTTTACGGTCACTGTTAAAGAATGCTGTATGTGGCAGCCCTTACGAGTGAAACGAAGTAACGTGTTATTTTCGTCCACAGAGTGTCGTGTTACTTTCGTTCGTTCCTAGATACATTTTTTGACATAAAAGCATTATAACTTATATACTACGCAGGACTTGTCAAAATCTATTGCAATAACTTATAAACACATTTCACAAGAATGCACCGGTAAATAATTACATCGATATATACATTTTAACTACACATAAACACAAAAAATACAAAACGGAAAATACTTACGTGGATGAAAAAAGTACCTAAATTCTGTTCCTCCATGCAACAGTGGCGCGATTCTTCTACGATAACTAGTTGAGGGAAGAGGGGGGGATAGGAGCGCGAGTTTTTGACTGTATAATACAAATGAAATAACACGTTGTGTACGCCGGCAGAGGACTTGTTACTTTCATGATACTGTTACTTTTGTCTCCCCGGTCTCCCCTACATATAATAAAAATCATTTAAATATCATTCTTTGATATTCTACCTATTTTATCTCGTTATTCACAAAGTGTATCAAACGTCGGCATAATTTATATGTATACATCTTTTAATAACAGTAATAATTCGGTTACACTATAAAATATGTATTACAGCTTTAAACTAAATTAAAATACGAGAAGCATATTTTAATTTTAGTATAATTTTTTTTTTTTTTTTAATATAAACGTCAAAAGTGTTGTAATCATGAAACAAGCAACGCAACAATATTTCGCACAATCCGCAACAACCCAGCTTGCGCATTATATACTTTCAGTGCAAGAAATAAACACTGAAATAACAGTTAAAAGATAAATATTGTTACGAGTGCTGCGGACAGCATTCCCGAATAAAACGTTACGCGAAAATTCTCTAAACAGAAATAGAAAGAGAAAGAGAGAGAAAGATAGAAATGGAAGGCAAAAAAGGAGAGAGAGAGAGACAGTTTGCAGTTGTCCAAGGACAAATTATGCAATTATATGTGCAATGAGAACCTGGCGACTGCAAGAACGTGCCCAAGGGTGGCTCGCATGCACCGGATGCGTATACGGCTGCATGGAAATTGCGAGCAAATTAAAGGGAGCCCTGCCTCGGGGTAACGCTTACGCCAATTCTCGTCCGTCTCGCAGTAAGAGCTTATCCGTACCGGCAGGTGCGAGCGCACTCACACCATCCCCCCACATTCGGCAAATTGTTACTCTTATTACACGTGGAATCGATAGCACCCGGCTATTCCGTCGCGCTCTCTTTACCATTACACCGCTTTCTCGCTTTTCTCTCTTTTCCCACCGGTAAAACAAACCGCGTATCCTGACACGTGTATCGCGGACCTCGCTTTACCCCCCCTCCCCCAAGGCCAATAGAATAACTTTCCGTAAAGGTTTCAATAATTCATGTCACGTGCCACAGCCGGAGATTCCGCGAGAAATACGCGACACGGAAATTGATCTTATCGGAGAAAAGTTCAGACCTATATATACGGGACTAATCAGTACTTCATCTTAATTCCTTAAGATACGAAATTCGCCCTTTCTTGACGTGAAAATTATGAATTTTTTTTATCATGCACGTTAACGTAAGCATTCTCAAGTAAACGTGACTCCGTCCTGTCGATGAATCGATTCCGCGAATAAGTTCCTCGTTCGATTTTTGCCGCGAACGATACGACGAAGTAAGCCAATTTTCCAAGCGTCCGCGATGGGCGATACAATAGACGATATTGCCGAATCAGGGGGAAGTGTTTGCGCTAAATTAATTTCGGGTCAGGCGCGAACGGAGACACGTAACGTGTGTGTAGTGAACAAAGTGAAACAAAATTGAATCACACGGATCGAAGGTGCGGACTGGCGGCGGGATTGGTGCACCGGGGGTTATCCACGGGGCCGAACTAACGCACGCGAGGGTGTGTTAAAGCACCGCGGTTCGGATAATTTAAGTAAATATTTCGTGATATAAATGAAAGGCACGTGAGCCAGATACTGATTAAACATTAAAATTGATCGCCGCGGAGCCATACGAAATTACAGTCCACAAATGCCGGCGCGCCGTTTCGCAAGATAAGACTGGGCAAATAACGGTGCAGATACTATCGCCTGTGCCTCTTTCTTTTATCAAGGGGCATATCAAATAAGTCTATAACTAACCAACTGTAGACCGTATCGTGGGGCCAAGTTATTCCACGATCAGATGCATAGCGCACGAAATATTTTCGAGATACTAATGGGAGTTTCGCGATGGGATACAAACGAGTATTCTCTAAATCTAAAGCATCTCTCTCTGAGAGACAGTACTTAACCCTTCGATGCCACTCACCATGCGGCATACTCGAGGTTTCTTTTATTATGCTATAAATTTTTTATTAACCTTCCGACTGCGATCATAATTTTATTTCCTCCGTACAATCCAAGTCTTTTTTACTATTCTAAAGCTTTCGAAAAGTGTGGAAAAATTTAAGATTATCTTTTCATCTCTATTACGTTATCAAATAGTTTTTTAACATGATAATCTAAAAAGTAGGAATAAATCTTTTTTATTTTGGAAAATTTGAAAATAAAATTTTGTTTATGCCAAAAAAAGACTCAAATTATTATAGTAAATAGATACGTTGCTTGTTCCTTAATGTCTGGTGTTTTTTAATTGAAAAAAATTGTTAGAATATGTTCATTTTTATGCAATATCTTTTATAATATATAACCAGTGTAATAAAAGTACATAACAAAGATACATATATTCTGTAGAATATAACACTGAAGGGTCAAGACGATTTAAAATAAGAACGAACTATAAATGACTTAAGAAACACACTCTTCCTGTCAAACCCGGATAAATTTAACCTGCGTAAATCTGTTAATATTGATCTCATAAAATTCCAGTATTGGAAGCTTAATACGTGCATTAACGTAAATGCTTTACCAAAAGTAGGAACAAATCTCTCTCATACCGAAAGAATTCCGATATTCATTACGGATTAATCGATACAGTCGGCGTGTCGGCGATCCCGACACGCGATAATTCCACGTAATTCTATTCGTATACACGGCGCGCGAAATTACCGGGCACCTTGAACAACGTGACGTGGAAGCGGAACGAGAGAGATCATCCGGCTCCGGCTAATTTTCTAATACTTATTCTTCTATTACAGCACAGAGCGCGCGTCCGCGCGTTACCATATTACCACACTCGTGATCTGAATACATGCATATTCATCTATACGTCTTTATAACGGCGGGGGCGCACACAGCTAAGGACGCTTTTTGCATAGAGAGCCACCCCCGTATAAACGGATAAATTCAAATTGAAGCAGCACAAAAGTGTAAATGAACTTTGCGCCGAAAAGGGCCGCTTGTCCAGGCGCCGTCGACATGGATGACTTTAAAGAGCCGGATGGCCTTTGCGTATATATACGGCAGCCTCCGGATTAAAAGATGAAAAGAAGTACGAGCGTCGACGTACGCTCAGCAGACAGTTAATGACCGACAGTGTACTTTCCTTCGCGTATTTAAACGACCTGCGTGTAAATTTCTTTTATAATGAAGTTTACTACAAAAGGGTCAACTTCAGTCTAACAAGCTTTTTCAAACTAAAAAATTCTCAAATAAAAATCTCCATAAAATTGCGATACACTTCAATTTCCTCGCGATATATTTTATGAAAAGACTATTTTACAAAGAATTAAGACTAATACGCATTTTTTTTCCAACGTGCACAATACCGGATTTCGCAAAGTTCACAGCTTGTTGTTTTTTAGATCATTAGAAACAATGCTCTTTCTACCTCATTAATTATGAAAGTATAATGAATGCTTTTTTTTTCCATTTGATAACACAAATTGACACAAGTATCGTTTTATCTTTGTTACTCACTAGAATGTCAAAAAACTGAAAAAAAATAGAATGATGTTTGTGTCGACTCGTGTCACTAAATGGAAAGCACCCAATGTAAAGAATACAAAGTGCTTTATAATGACGACAAAAACTAAAATGTCACCCGGAAAGAACGATTTTGCTGAAAAATCTAAAGCTTTGTTGGATGCAGATCTGAAAATAATTTTGTTGCCATCAAAACACGTAAATTATGTTGAAACTAAGAAGCGAGCAATGCTGCAAAATAGTTTGATATTCTAGTAACCATTCATATTCCACCCCTGGTGTTCGCAATAAAATTATTTTTATGATCCAACAAAATTATTTTCACATCTGTATCCAGCAAGATTCGAAATCTTGCAGCATAATCATTCTTTCCGTGCACACAGAAATATTTCCTCTCCAATACCAATTTTTCAACGTATATCAAAGCCGCATACTTCTCTTGGACGAACTTTTGATTAATCGCGAAATATATGGGGGTAACAAGCGGGTCGTAAACGAATTCCCAGCTACCTAAGCTCTTCGCGAAATGTCGGAGGGGTGCAGGCGCGTAGGAGGGGGCTACTTGCGGCGCGTTCGTTCGTGCTTGAGCGAAGGGAGCGCGAAATGGGTTATACGGAGGAGAGTAGGATAGAGGAAAGGAAGGTGAGAGAGCCGGGGTGTCCAAACGAGTGGCCAAATGTAATTTAAAGAAGGAACGAACTTCATCTCCTACCACCACACTCTCGAGCCCACTCACCATCACCTCCCCGCCATCTCATCCTCCGGGCAACGACCAGGAAGAAGAAGGCGAAAAGTTCAGTCTGGTTTACAATTCAGCCCGCATACAGCCAACCGGCCCTTCTCTACCTTCCTTCCCTCCTTCTTCAGGATCATCATCTTCTCTCGCTCTTTCCCATCCTCGCTCTCGTCACCATTCTTGTTTGATTTCGCTGAACTACAGTCCATTTCGAGTTTATTTGACGCAAGTCGTTATATAACAGTGTCATCGATCTATGAATAATACTCCCTTTCTTTTACGGTTGTCTTCTTTCCGCCGTCACGTCGGCTAATGTAAATGTCATAAGACTTAATGAGTCTGTCAGATAATCTGACAGACGGACACTTATACTTTGTATTCCGTATTTTACCAATAAATGATTGACGTTCATATCTTCAATCTTATTACTAATTCTCTTATATCTTATATCCTATATAATATTCTTATTAATCCCTATGTCTAACTTTAAGATTTTTATATGCAGTTTTTTAATATATAAAATATTAAGAATCATTTTATATTTTTAATTAATTTTTTTTACAATATCAATTCTTATTGGACCGCTACAAACCAAATGAGACAATGCCACAGCGGTCTAAGCTGGATCACGGGTGCTTCTAATTGTGTGTGAATTTGTATACTACGAATATATTTCTTCGATTGCGCGCCGAAATTGTTTCAGACTTGAAACACGCAACACTAATAAACTAAATTGTTAGTCAATTGATATTACTGATATTATTATAAATGATATTACAATATAAAATATATATCTACTTATTTTTTAAAGCGAAAAAAAAGAAAGAAAATATTGTTTAAATAAAAAGTTATATAGTTAAAAAAGACTTTATGATTTTAATTATGTGAAAACTTCTGTGCGCGAAGAAAGAAATTTCCATACTCTAATAAATTCATTATTTAGATTAGAGTGCAGTAGTACAGAGTGCATTATAGATAAACCAACTCGAAATCTTCTTAAAAATATGTTTAAATATAACGAAACAGAAATAATTATAAAGGAAAGAAAAGCTAAAAACAGATCACATAAACATATACGAAAAGTGTAAATGCATTGATTAATTCAATATGGAACATCCAGATATAAAATTTTAAATAATCAAATATCCTCCACTTAATACAATTTCTATCAAAAATAAAGTAAATACAGTGATGAAGAACCGATAAGAAAACCGTGGTGAATGAGACGCGTACATCCAGCTCCTTCGATATTCACTTAACATGTGGTTCCAGTAGAACGGATGCGATTCGTTAAGCTTGATATCACCGTGCACTTACGGCGACAGCGGCAATAAATCGCACAGCCGCACGCGAATTCTCAACAATTCGAAATGCCGTCGAGTGTCTGCGTGTGAATAGCTCAGCGTCTACGTGTAGATCGTGTAAACTACTTCTTTACGCGTAATCCACGTAGACGGTGCATAATTCACGCGAACGGCGTTACTAATGGCCACGCTTCTCCACCTTTCCCTTGTTTTTAAAAATAAACACTTTAATGGAAAAAATTTAATTTAATTTACGATTATTTGAATTTTTTCCCGTCGTACTAACATTGCGAAAAAAAAAAAAAAACACACACGCGAAATATATTTATATAATATTTGTTACAATTCAAGAAGTAATTCAATATAATTTAAGACTGAATTTAATACCAACTTACTAACAAAATACATAAACTTGATATATTTTTTCAACGAGCCAACGTTAGCTCGAGAATTATTTTGCATTAATCTTGTACGTTTTACACAATGCAAATCGAAATCGTCGAATTTCTTTTCGTTCATCGATTAGACGTTTTACTTCGATAGCCGATTGCTACCGTCTCGTCGGGGCGCCGCGCGCCCGCCGAAACATAAACTCTTACTACTTGATGCAAGGGATCGAACCGTCGCGCGGTGGCGGCGGGGCGGTGTCTCGAGTAAGTGCGACCGTAAACACACGCGCGGGGTGGCCTCCTTAATCCTTAAAACCGCCGGGTCCGCGCGCGATTCGTTCCACCGTTCATCCCTGAATTTATAGCCTTCTCGCGATGCAGCGCATCGCGCCGCACCGACGACGCTGGCGGCGGAGTCTCGTTTCGGAGTTCTCGCCATCATCTTTCGCGGCGCCGCACTACGAGCGTTTTAGCGACGGCCATCAGCGTCGCTTCCATTTCCTCGGCGGGAGGGAAAGGAGGATGGAAACAACGAGTAGGAAAAAGAGGCGCTCTCGGGATAAAGGTTTCCACGCGAGTCGCGTTTACTTCGCGTCATCAGCGTAATTGTATGCGAGGGAATAAACAAAACTATAAAGCTCTCGCCGGCCCGGATTACTTTTCCGCAACTTCTCTCTCGCGGTTTTCTTTTTCTCTCTCTCTCGATGCCCATTTTTCTCATCGCCCCCTCCCCCCCCCCTCTCCCTATCCCTTTTCCATGTTTTTCTCTTTCTTGATCCTCGTTTGGTTTCTTTGCGTCCTGCAAAGAATCTCCTTGCGCTCCTTTTCGCTCTCCTACCTCCGAGACTTCTGCGGAATCGAGAAACGCCGCGTTTGCGCCTAACTCACACGTTACATCGACCCTTTCTTGTACACGTGAATCTACAGGGTGTATCTCGAAATCCAAACACTCAATTCACAATTTTTCAAGATTATTGTAAATTTTAACGCGATTAAATAAAAAATTAAAATATAAGAAAACAAAATTGTCTATATGAGTGACCGTTACGTAAATTATATACGTTATAAAGCAATTAAATTCGGAAAGCAATAAAGATGTATTTTTGATAAACGAATTCGTTATTCGCGAATTAATTTTTGGAGCTATTATATTATATTTAATTAATTTATTATAGTTGTTTTCTATCTGTATATAAAAACACATCGAGATGTTACATAAGAATAATATTTACTGCATCGTAGACCTTTGGTCGGACTTTTCAGGAAGGCAGATGTCTATGTTTCAAGAGAGACACGGCCTGTAAACCAACGCGTTCTTCACGAAACGTGCACACATGTGTTGTGTAAATACATGCACACACAACGACCGACGCCCGGACCGACTCCCATTCTTTCTTGGCGGTTGCTTTTTATTTACCCCATTTCCTCCTTTGTTTACTCGAGGGGTTCCTTGGCTATTCCCGTTCCTTCTCTTCCTTTCCTTTCCGATGGCTCCCAATCCTCCTTTCCTACGGAATCGAGCACAGCCTCGGGGATGGCATGGCATACTACAGGGCCGAATCAACCGGTCTCGTCACCCTTGTCGGAGTTCCCTCTCGAGGACCGACCAATGGGATTAACGGGCAATCGGAGTGGCAGGTAAAATTCTCACCGGAGTTCAACTCAATGGCTCCTTTAAACTCCCGCAGCTAAAGCCCTCTTGCCAAAAAGATTTCGTAGATAAACGAAAAGTGTCAATTACAACGGTCTTTTTTCGATTCCGCCATTTTCCCTACGGCGCATATGTATAGTGTGTATGCCCTCAGGCGCCTTTTATGCAATTTTCATAAAACTTTACGAATTAACTATAACGATAACGACTCCTTTTATCTCCTTATGTGGAGCATAGGACGTCTATAGACCTCTTTTGTCCGAGGCCTATATTCGTTTCTCGAATCAGATTGTTTTTCGGATTTGTGGGTGATTGGTCCACAGAATCCTACCTCAGTCAGATATTAGAGACAAATATCTACTGATATGTATACTGATGTATAGGACCTACAGTTTAACGCCGAATCCGAACGGCGCTGATGATCATAGATCTTTTGATCACCAGATGGAGCCATTTTTTGGCTCATTAAACGCGAAAAATCGCGTTTGGGCGCACGTGGGATTGAACTTGGGTCTACAAATCGCGAGTCAATCGCACAGAGCGGTGAGCCACTCGACGCTCACGAATTAACTATAAATTAACTATAAATGTTCCATTCTGATGTATATGCGATAGAAGACAATTTTAACGAAATGCAGGCAAACGCGCGAATCTATTTTGTACTCGTATGTATCTGTTATCTTATATTGAGCGATATATTGCAGAAACCGCAGAAATTAACTGTATATTGTGTCTACTGCATTGAAAGAAAGTTCTTTAGTATTTGTGACTATAAAATTACTTGGTACCATAATCATGCAGTTACTTACTGCACGAAAAGAGCAATTTTATTGAAGTTTCTAAAAATTCATACAGCTAGATATATGTAGATCTGAAGATAATTTTGTTGGACTATTAAAGTAATTATATAAGAAACTCAATATGACGGATAATACTGAAGAAATTTTTGCATGCAAAAATGTTTAGCAATCAGTTTTAGCGTCTTAAATAATGGACATTATTTTGACAGTTCAACAAAATTATTTCTAGATTTGTGTATCTTTAGCAAAATTGTTTTTTCTGTTTATTGTAATTAAATGGTATTAAATGTATTAATAATTATTAGATTTACAATTCTATCAAAATATATGATATAGTCGGCACCGAAGAATATAAAAATATTCATTGTTCCAAAAATAACTATTAATAAATTATAGCTAAATAATAATTATTATAACTACTTTTATAGTAATAATAACTATATCTACAGTCACTTTCGCGATCCCGACTACATAATGTATATGTGTGTATATTTTTTATATAGAATTATTATAAATATAATTATTATCACTAATATTGCTAATAATGATAATTATATAGTATAATAATTATATTAAATTTTATTTGGACCGTAAGAGTTTCAAACTAAATACCGATGAGAATAAGTCATTTACGATCAAGCTGGATCTTGGATGCTTCTAATATAATTTCGTACCGAAGTACTATCACGAGTTAAACTAACTTATTGCTTATTGCTCTTGGATCTTAATAATATGTTGAATGACATATTAAAATCTGTGAATGGCATATTAAAAATCTAAATAATTTAATTACATTGCGATAAATATTATATCTCGACCAAGAGTCGAACCCGGATTTTGCGTTTTGTAAGTGTGAAAAAATTTCAGCGCGCATTTAGGGATCTACATACGTAGTATATAAATTCATATGAAATTATATTAGAAGCATCCTAGATCCAGCTTGAATAAATGGCTTATTCTCATCGGTGTTATAATTATAGTCACAAATATCTTTTCTCTCTCAATGTATATGTTTAATTTATTGTGTAATGTATTATATTATTTGTTAATATTATTATATTGTAT